CAAAAAATCGTCAATTTTTCAACTCGTCAAAATAATTACGTTTACAGTAACCAATAAAATACTTTTTCTTTACATTAAAAGAACAAAGTATTGATCATTCTTCTAATAAACTTCAATACGTTTTAATTTCATCATAAAGCTTCTCGAGTAAACAGGCCCGTAGGAAGCAATTTTACTTTGGTAGGTGGGGTGGAGACCACCGAAAGTAATTTGCGACAAAGAAATGATATCGACAAAATCATTAATAAAGGATAATTGCATAAAAAATTTCTCGTATGAATGAAAAAGGGTAATGAAAACGCACAGTGATCGATCTCATAAAATCCACACAATACAAATCTTTGAACAGGGCATAAACATGGACCCCTTGAAATTCCAGCGGTGGGATCAGGTGCCTAGGAGGAGTAAGCATCCCATGTCGATCGGTCACACCCGCTGTGAGCCCTATGTATTGATCAAGTAGACGGAATATTCCGTAGTCAAATTCAGTATAAAAGCAAAGGTCTAACAATTGGTAGGAAACAAGTCAGCCAAAATACGACCCAGTGATAGATTATATTTGCTTACAAGGTCATTATAACGACCATAGAGTTTGCAGAATGCCAACTCCAACCACAAAAAAGACAAGAGTTCTGAATAAACAATTCCAATCACTATATATCTGAATCAAGCTCAGAATGACACAACTTTTTTGAATATATTCAAATTTTGGATATCAGGTATGTTTGTTTAAACGGGATAATTCTTAAAACTTTGCCCTTTGAGTCTAAAAAAATTAGTGCTCCCGACCCCTTCTTTCCTGCATACCTTGCCTCTTCGTGAACTTTTTCCAAAAATGACTTTTTTCTTCTTTCTGGTCAAACACTATTAGATATAATCGAACTGTGCGTAAGGTAGATCATAAGTTCATATGATAGTGTCTTGGACCAGACATGAAAGGGACCTAAATAGCCTTTAAGTTTACAAGCTACTGACCGTATCTACGTCACTGGTGTGTGAAACGTGACTGATAGAAAGTCGGGTTTACCTTTACTTCAATAAAAAACTGTGATAATAAAAAAAATCAGCAATTAATCATTTTAGCTTTACAAAAAGACTTTCTTAGGCTAGAAATATACAAAAGAAGAACTGTATAAGGGCAGTTGGCTACACTTATTTTTGTATTATTACGAAGTTCCTCTGAACAAGCTATCTAATGCATTGATTACGGTTAATTATTGGACTTGAAAGTCAAGGTCACACATATAAGAAACCTTTTGATTGATGTCCCTTGCGAGAATTTTTCACTCGTATATGATGTCACCAAAACCAGTTAAAAAGCTTTAAATTTAGACATTATCTAGTCACCCTAGGCCATTGAGCAGTGACCGTTCTTTACCGTGCCAACACCTACCGTGAGTCATATCCGAAAGATCCTTGACTTTCACTCCTAGTGCCAGGAGCTTGGCGAAGGAACAGTCATTACATAAGATATACCTCTTAAGTTTGACGCCAGACGCGGCACCGCGAACGAGAATCGAACCATGACCTCCAGATCACGAACCTTTAGGATGAAGCTCTAAGAAATGTTAAGGCACAAATTGCTATTGATAATTAAATTAAAGGACACTGACTGCATGTCCCTCACTGATTAAGATGACTGTTCTGCTAAAAAAAATTAATAATTAAAAATAATTACACTTTATATGAACTTTATTATGTCACCGGGTTCACAGGTGCGTGAAAGTCAGTCAATATATCGGGTCTCAATAGCTCAGTGGTTTGAGCGCTGGCACGGTACACCAGAGGCCCTGGATTCGAGTCCCAGTTGAGACTTGATTTTTCACCACCTGTGACATTATATAATATGATTTTTTTTAATATGGGGGGAGTGGGGGCACGCTGCTCCTATTGCCATGGTAAATTGCTGTACAGTGCAGGGAGTAGTATTAGCGGCTATACACCGGGGGTAAACAATGGGTCTTTTGTTAGAACGAACAATGGATCTATTGTTAGAATGACCTTGACCGATTTTCAGTGCATAGGTAGTAAACAATGACCTTGACTGACTTAATACAATTAGACTCTCAGATATACACCGGGGGTAAACAATGGGTCTTTTGTTATTCATAGACCATGACCGATGCGCTGCAACAGTAATAGGAATGGGGGGAGAACGACTCTCTACGTCACGGACAGATGTCACGCTACAGTCTACTCATGGGGAACAGACACAATGGAAGGGGAAAATGGAATGACGTCAACACAAGGGTTGACATAAAAAGAGATATTTAATAAAAAAAAAAAAGACAGGAGGATTTTTTGAGAAAGGCAATACAAAAAAAAAGAGTTGAGAGTGACGTCATTGATGAACATGAAAGAGAAAATACAAAAGGATTTTTTTAAACCAATGACTGACTTTTGAGTGACCGTGACCTTAAGTTTCGATAAAAGGAGATGAAATCCAAAAGGAGGATCATTCCGTTGAGGAGAAAGGAGCTAAGCGAAGAGGGGAAAAATGTCAAAGATTAAATACGAAAAGGCACTGGAAGGAGAAAACAAGGGTCTTGAACATTTCTTGAGAAAGAGTGCAGCTGTCAAAAATCTCATCGACAACTACATTGCCAACAATATGAACTCCAACTCTTGCGACTACTGCACAAAACATTACGCACTGAGAAGTAAACTGGTGCACGAAAAACATTGTCTTGTAAGATTGGCCATGGAAGCCACACTGGATGTTATGAAGATGTCTACATTTTGTCTTCGGGCACAGGACATCGAATGCGAGACCTGGAAGGAGATCGACAACAACGAAGTCTTAGAAATAATCATGGCCGAACGTATTCCCTACGATGTCATGGAGGGTGCTTATTACGAATCAATTTGGGAAGATTACTACTACCGGAGACTAGAATATCTGTGGCCAGACGGAGTGTGGCGTAAAGAAGATCCATGTGATTTAACTGTGGCCAGACGGAGTAAAGAAGATCCATGTGATTACAACCCAAATGATCATTAAAAAAAGACAAGTTAAATATAATCATGTTTTTATTTTGTTTGTGTCATATCTTTAAACATTGGAGAGGTAAAAATTGTTTGAATTATATTGAATGTATGAAAGTTTAATAAATGATGAGAAAACGTCTATTGTATTGTGTTCATCTTTGATGGAGGGATATTCTTCAATGAAACGATCCAGTCTCCTATACGATCTTAAACGAGACTGGTGTCAAAAAGGGGATGCGAGAAAAAACTTTTCATTTTGACTGTTTTTATTTCGTTGGATGAATGACGAGAACATGTTTATCATACATTTGAGCAAATTCTTCGATAGCTGTCAAATAAACGTTCCAGTCTCCACCAGCAAGTCCACATCCTATCTTATAGGGAAAGGCTATCTTTTGAAAAGAAGTCTGTCCGAGCTCGTGCAGACATTGTTGAAACCAAAATATCCTGTTTTCTTTTGTATCAGCAAAAGGTGGAATGGAACGTTTTCGAACGTTATGACAGCGACCGAAATCCCACTGGGAGAGAAAACAGACCACAGCAGGACATTCTGATTGCCGAAAAATGCAAAGTGTGCCCGGAATTCCTCGGGTCTCTGTGGTAGCTAAGTTGCGTTTTCCTACGGATTCTCTCAGATTGTAAATATCGGCCCATGGATATTTTTTAGCAATTTGATGTGAAAGACCATGCGGTTTGACGGTCAAACAATTCACTTGATGACAAATGGCATCAACATCGGTTAGGGTCAAGATGTCCCCATACACTTGACGAATGCTCATTATAAGTCCGTACTCTTCAAACGAAGACTATCATCTGATTTTTTTTAAAGGTATAACTCATATATAAAACCCTTTTCCTCTTAACGTTTTCTACACCTTTATAAAAAACGAGAGAGAAAAAACTCATCACATGTCAATGAAATTTTATTAAAAAATCAGTTTTCTGAATACACAACAATCATTAATGGTATATCATACAGATAAATGATCAAAGTATATCACGTAACAGTCAAATCAATGTCTCTCAAAGAAACGGAATTCACCAATTTTCCCATCCGTCTGGATTACAGGCAGGGCACTTCAGCATCCCAATTTGATTCAGATGATCATTCTGATCGTAACAGGGTACGAATGTTTCCAATTCCGGAATGGCATTAAGGATGTTTTTCCATTGATCCATAAAGTGTTCGTATTCCTGGGGTCGAAGACATAAACCCTTCTTTGTTGGAACAGACTCGTCTGTTTGAGGGGGTTTCCAGTATTGACGTATGTCGACACAGGGGTTGTTTTCCCTCACGGATACGAAAACATTGTATCCCAAGTGCCACTTCCTCTCTTGGTTTTGTTTCAGGGCTTCCTGTACAGACTCCAGATAATTCGACAGTGATTTAATTTGATGTAGTTTCAAAGATATTCCCTTTTTAGTGGGTATGATTTTTTTCTCTCCAACCATGTACTCTCGCATGTCCAATCGAACTTCGTTTTGCCAAATGGAGACTTTGGCATAACGTCCATTTTCAAGAGCGACGGATAAACGTAAGTCTGACATGATCTGAGTAGAAGCTGACTGAAGAATGAAGTTCGATGTCTGTATCGCCTTCATTTATAGAGAAACAGAGGATACCTGGGTAATTCCATGACGTCAAAGTCGGAACCGTGAAAACACGAACAATGAAATGTATTGTTCTCGCCCACCCTCCATAAAAAATAAGTTCACGTCTACTGAATAGAGATGACGTCAATATAGAAACAGGGTATTTATATCTAATGATATAATTTAACAAGACTAAAGGTCACGAATCCTAAAAAAACGAACAATGACGTCAAAGACATAACATTTTCTTTGTTGTCGTGAACAAAGGGTAGTCTTCTGACGTCATTCTGTGAGCTCTTATTCATCGATAAACAATGAAGTCTCACTATGGAAATGAATGATGTGTGACAGGTGAAAGTATAAATGAGGTTGTTTCCCACCTCGTCATCATTTCCACGTACAAGGTTTGAGGTAGCAAGATGTCTTCTTCCCTAGATTGTGCAGCAAATTTCGTGGAGACGGATTCCAGTGCCGAACATTCTTGGAACGATTATTCCTCACTAGAGGTAAACCCTTCCACATCTTGGGATTCCAGTGCCAACTTTGCCTGGCGTTATCAAGAGAATGAAGAGGGGTCAAACGGTTCTCGAAATGTCGTGACCAGACAGATCAAGAACATTCCACCACCGCCTCCTCCTCAACATCAACTCTGGCAGTATCCAGAATACGTCACTTTTGCCTCGCGGTTTGCAACGTTTTGGGACTGGCCAAGATACTTGAAAGGACCCAACAAAAAAGACTTGGCTCGAGCTGGATTTATCTACACACAGATCGGAGATAAAGTGACCTGTTTCTGCTGTGGAATGACACTGAAAAATTGGGAACCCATCGACGATGCCTACCAAGAACACCTTCGTTGGTCCAAGAATTGTCAATTCGCTCAGATGGTGTCTGATGGAAAGAACGAGAATTACAGGAAAGGAATTCATCCCAGAAATAATTTTCGGTGAAAGAAAAACTAACATTGGTCTTAAACTCTAAAATGTATCTTATTGGTTCTGGGATTTTTTTTTGGTTCAAGTTGCTCGTCAAGAATCCGAATAAACTGATCAAGGACACTTAAAGTGCTCCGAGCCGTATTGGCGGAGATCGACCATAGTAGTGAGACGGGCAACACACTGATATTTTTGTAATTTTCTTTTAATATTAGAATTGTATGAATAAAAATGATATCCAAACCTGATACTTGTCTTTTGTTGTATTTGTGTATAACTGAGGATATAAGAGTAGAGGTGTACATGACATATCGTCATTCCAACGTCGAACGTCAGGACGTATGGACATGGAAGAATATTTGGAAAAAAATATGGTACGATCCTCGACATCCCGGTTCTTTTGCCGGACCCTCTAAACTTTATCAGGTGGTGAAACAAGAGGGTAAATTCAATATTGGTATGACTAAAATAAAAAAATTTCTACAGAACCAGGACGCTTATTCGCTACAAAAGAAAGTGCGTAGAAAGGGGTTTAAGAGGAGGAGAGTCGTGGTTCAAGGTATAGACTACCAGTGGGAAGCCGACCTGGCAGACGTTCAGAACTTGTCCGAATACAACGATGGCGTTCATTTCCTCCTCGTGATTGTCGACGTCTTTTCTCGGTTTCTATGGGTCCGGCCCTTAAAAGACCGAAAAGCCAAATCAGTTATTGAGGCGTTTAAGGACGTGTTTACTGGATCGAGACGCCCCCGAGCCATAAGAACCGATAAGGGATCTGAATTTTATAACCGATTTCTTCAACAGTATCTAAGAGACCAAGGAATCAAGATTTTTTATGCCTTGAACGAGACCAAAGCCAATTTTGCCGAGAGATACATTCAAACGTTGAAAAAACGTCTGTATCGATATTTTACGCACTTGCAAAAATACAAGTACCTGGACATCTTACAGGACGTGGTTCAGTCCATCAACCACACCCCTAACCGATCGCTGAAAGGTCGCACGCCGGCTTCTGTGACCAAGGAAAACGAAGACGAAGTGAGACTAGATGCCTATCAGGTTCGTCATCGAAGGGACACTCGGATTCCTAAAGTGAAGAAATCGTCCAAGACGAAAAAACGTTTACCTTACACATTTAAAGTGGGAGACCAAGTACGAATCACGCACTTGCGACGTCTCTTTCAGCGGGATTACGACCAAACGTACACCGAGGAAATCTTTGTGATTCGAGATCGTTTCGTGTCTCAAGGCATCCCCATCTACAAACTGAAGGATTTGACAGACGATCCGATCCAAGGTACTTTTTATGCCAGCGAACTACAGAAAGTGATCAAAGACGAGCAGACGATCTGGAGAATCGATAGGATTCTACGTAAACGCAAGGTTCGGGGTAAAGAAGAAGTGCTGGTGAGATGGTTGGGATGGCCCAAGAAATTCGACAGTTGGATTCCGAAAAGCGATATAAAAGAGACGTAATCTCTATTCCTCGTATCACTTTCCTTCGAGATGTCTATGCGTATGGTTCTCAAGTCGACGGACAGTGCCACCGATCATCCCGACAATCGACCGGGAAACTTCCGAGTGCGTTTACCCAGACCCTTACCTTTGACGGGTGATTGGACGGTGGAACTGACCGAGTTTAGAAACACCAAACTCGGGAAAACGACCGACAAGGAAATTTTCGTCTACTGTTCGGTCTGCGATGACAGCATCGTGGGAGGCAGTCAAAAACCTCTACTGAGACGCATCGTCCTGAAGGACAACAACAACGTGATTTTTCTTCGCCCTTATAAGATCCCTTTACGCTCCAATGACCTCAGAGACATCCACGTGTATATAAAGGACAAGCAAGACACAGACGTTTCATTCTTGACTGGAGAGTCCACGGTGACGTTAGTATTTCATCGTCTCTGACATCATGTCTGGGCCGACGTACGTTTCGCATCCTTCGTTGTGGGAACAATTTAGACACACCGAGAGGGGAGAAAACTTCATTCCGACGATTAGAAAGAAAAGCCAGAGAGGGGGTGGCATATTAAATCGAAGAAGAGCCTACATGATTCCCGTGAAACATGTCGCTACCCCCAAGTCGGAAATCCCTCAAGTCACACCCGTTGCAGCCGAGCGAGAAAGAGCCCTGTCAGATCTGAAAGAAACCATGCGTAACGACGAGCCGCACATGCCCTTACAAAAATCTATAAAAAAGAAACCCCGAAAAAAAGGTATCAGTCGTTCCTCGACGCTCAAAGGGAAAAGACGTGTCCCGACGAAGAGACAGAAGCCTCCAAAGAAAAGGAATCTCAAGAAGAAGCCAAAAGGAAAAGGCAAGCCTAACTCGCATCCCGACGGAAAACCCATTTTTTAGCATTCATGTCTTTTCTGAGCGACATCAATACGAGCACGGCAGAACCATGCGAACTCTCTCTTTTCACCGATCCTCCCAATCAAGTGGCTCTTCAAAAGATATACTTTTCGGAAACTCGTCCCATATCGTCCTTCGACGCCGACGACGCTCCGCTCGAATTTGCCATCCCCGGAAGCGGAAACGAGTATCTCGATCTGAGAAGAAGTCGACTTTACTTAAAAGCCAAGATCACCAAACCCGACGGCACGGCCCTGGCCGGTTCAGAAAAGACCGGGATCATCAACCCGAGAATACAAAGCAGCGCTTTACAAAGGGAATAAATTATAATGACCATTAAATCCATTACTAAACATACTGATGATAGTTGGATTACTGACAGTATGGTGTTATGAAGCATAAAAGATATGGGAAGAATTTTTCTCGCATTCGAAAGAACTCGGCTGGGAGATCGACAATCTTTTGCAATTGCAAGGTCTCTTTTACATTAGAACGATTGTTTGTGATCCGACCAGTAATTTTCAGTGCTTATGAAATATTCTGAAAGATATGGTATTTTATTCTTATTTTTAAAATGTCCTTTGAAGTCGCAAAGAATTAAATAGTACATTTGTTATGGCGCACAGCGAAATGGAGGAAGTAAGATTTCTAGCTAGGACAAAATACCGTATATACTCACCTATAAGTCGGTCTGCCTATAAGTCGGTTGTATTTTCTGAGGTTATTTATATAAGTCGGTATAACTTTTTGCCAGAATCAGTTGACAATTTCAAATCAATGCTCTAATGTTTTAACCCGATTTTGATTAATATTTTTAAGAAATGACGCCGATATTTAATTTTAAATCATTAAGTTATCAAAATATGTAAATACTTGTACTTTACGTATAATAATAGAAAACGTAAATGATAGGATATAGTTCAACGATAATCATAGGAAGTGTTTATAAAATACTACATTTCGCCGTCCAGAAAAATACTAATCTTTTTATGACTCGCCTATAAGTCGGACATAGAGTTTTGGACCAAAATTTAACTCCCAAAATACCGACTTATAGGCGAGTATATACGGTATTTGCTGAACAGATAAAAGATAAAATTTATTCGAATATTGATTATTAAAAAAATGAAGTTTAGTTGAACTGTAAGTAATTACGAAGATTAAGACTGAAAAATATTCTAATCATTCGATGTTCCGGGTAGTCATTGGCTTCAATTTCCTCAATGCTTGTCGACAAAATATCTCTGTTATTTCTGTCATGCAGTTGAAGGTTCAAACCAGAAAAAAATATGAACGTCCATTACTAAAGGAACATCGTCGAATTCAAAGTTTCCTTCGTCCACCCCGAAAAGTTAATTTTTCAGTGTAAAAGTTTTTTTTATCTATCGAAAATTTACAACTGACAGTACAGCCTAACCCGCTATCAGTAATTACTGTAAGGACCTCGAATTATGAGTTTTATCACGTAATTACTACTGTTATTCATGCTTGCAAAATCGTTAAACAAAAATATTAAATAAAGGTATAACTGTGTTTAACTTTCCAGGAATTTAGAAATGAGACAAGTACGCTTTTATACGTATAATAACACTCTGACTTACCATTAGTATCCGACAATGCTTCCAGAGTTTATCAAAATTACTACTCATCAATATCACTTTAAACTCAAAATAAGACACCACAGAGTCTGACACATCTGTTTCATATAAGGATATTTAACTAGCAAAAAAACATTCTGGCAAACAAACAATAAACGTTTATGATAAACATGTTGACTTCAACTTTTCTTTCGTCAACTTTTCTTATTTATGTTTGCTTGTTTGTATGTTTAACGTCCCTCTCGAGAATTTTTCACTCATATGAAGACGCCACCACTTGCCGGTGGAGAGCTGCAAATTTTGTCTAATACTCGGCACTTACGGCCATTGAGCAGTGAGGGGTCTTTTTCGTGCCAGCACCTACTGCGACACGGGACCTCGGTTTATACGGTCTCATCCGAAGGACCGGTCTCCACGTCCCACAGTGGGATTCGAACCCGCGACGTAAGGATCAACTCCTTACTTTGCGACTCTAGAGCAGACGCCCTAACCACTGCGTCACGCGGGCGACTCTTATTTATGTAGCAATATACCAATATTATTTTCACCCGCGTGGCGCAGTGGTTAGAGTGTTTGGTCTAGAGTCTCGGAGTGAGGGGTTTATCCTTACGTCGCGGGTTTGAATCCCACTGCGGGACGTGGAGACTGGTCTTCTTTCCAATGGCACGTGTTGGCGTGAGTAGAAAAATTCACGAGAGGGACCTTAAACAAACAAAAAAATTACCTCCTGTCCATGGAGTTTATGTCTCCCAGTTGATTCGATACGCAAGAGCTTGTTCTACGTACGAACAGTTTCTAAAACAAGACAGGCTATTGACAAATAAGTTGATGATGCAAGGATGTCAAGTTTCGTTTAAAGCCGACATTACGCAAATTCAGTGACACAATGAGTTATACTCAAGGAAAATACAACAACAAAATCTAAACTTGCCCTGGAAGAAAACCCTATATTGTGTGTCTGTAGGTTTTTTTCGGGGGGGGGGGGTGTTAGGACAAGTCATTTCTTTAGTCAATTTTCATTAGTTAAACTGCTATCATTGCTGTATATTACGAAGGGTCCGTGTTTTCCTGTGGGAGGAGGGGATTCCAGTGTATTTCTAGATCCGCCCATGCAATTGATTGTTGTCTTGATATGTATATATATGTACATTGTACACTACCTTTCCACGCCTGTTTTAATCTTATTTCTCTCTATCTCTGTGCCTGTTTGAAAACATACTGTTTCATAAATAATCCATAACGATTTTTGACTTTGATACATAAGGTATTCTTTTTTCCTTCTCAGATTTGGACGCATTATGAGGCGTTCTGATAGATACTTGTGTTGTGAATCTTACACGTTGTAAGATTGCAGAAGCTTGCGCACTATCAGCAGTCTTGCTACTCAAGAAGTAGATGTACAATTTTAAATTTGTTAACTTCCTGTTCAGAAACGCTTAGTTTCGGAAGGTGGATATTCCTTCGTTCTGGAAAAGTATGACGTCGTGCACGCTTTTGGTGTCAATTTCAGTGACGTCAAAATGATGTTTTGACTATCTCTTTGATTAAAGAAGAAAATACAAGCTTTTTAAAACCGTATCTTATTGGATATCGCATGTTCTCACCTCCAGTGTTTCTATGAGATCCGTTTTTGTCCTATCCATGACTGATTTTGTTTACTGGATTTATGAGATTGAAAACTGTTCATTATCTTCACCCCTTACATTTATATATACAGGTAAACTTCGTTATCACGACATCGACGGGACCATCGGAAAATGTCGAGATATCCGAGGTGTCGAGATATCAGAGTTGAGACTTGACGTCCAAGATTTCATTGCATAGCAAAACAGACAAGCTTATTATATGTACATGTACATGACTTTAATATAGACTGAAGCTCAACATATTTCAGAATTCCCTCTATTTTTATTAAAAATCTAAGAAGTTATTTTAAAAATCTTGTTTATAAAACGTGTTCCTTATCGAAATCTTTCTAAATTCACAAAGTTTCAGCACCAAGTTACAGCATTGAGCTGCATTCGACTGTAACTTGCCTTTTCGTCAGAACAGGATACGAAATGCGCTCTATAAACTTCGAACCGTATAAAGTCGACATCCGATATACGGTAAAAAAAATAATAAATGCGGATTATTTTTTTCTTATTTCATTCAGAAAGAATGTACAATAAAATTAATTTTTTAAAGAGATTTGTGTATCTAAACTAACGTAGTGATGTTACGGATGCACGAATTACGACTGATTCTGTCAATCGTGTCGTTAATTGGATTGTTTCCTGTTGAATACATTTTAACTACAAAATATCATGAAAACTTTTTTTTTAATTCCTTAGTATGAATTTTTCAGTGAGATTTTGTTATTCATTGTAATTTAGTTATCTTTTTCAAATTTAAAAGTTATGTTACGTTTCGATATAAATAACATTCTGTACATCTACGCAGAATCGTGTAGATTTAGCGATGATATTACCCAAGCTCAATTAACTTCTCAAAGACGCCGAAGGGGCTTGGGATTCACCTACAAACACAGTCTATAAAATTAATTAAGCAGCGTGCAGTCAAAACATTGGTGTGAAAGGTGTGAAACTTTGACGACGTCGAGATACCCGGAGTCGTCCGTGCGTGACGAGCGACCCTTTCTGACAAATAGTTAGGTTCAGTAGAGCAGAAAATTGCCGATGTCGACATATGCCAGGTAAATTTCGCTCTTGGGACTGTGAATATACGTCGAGATAACCCGGGTTGTCGACATTACCGAGGTCGACATATCAGAGATTTTGCAAATCATTTATATAGTAAATACTGCCGGGACCGCGGGAGGATGTCGACATATCCCAGGTTGTCGACATATCCGATGTCGAGATACCGAAGTTTACCTGTATATATATATATATATATATATATATATATATATATATATCGTAATGGGTCAGAATAACCCGAAATGCCAGCAGAAATCAATCACAGTTTAAATTTAACAACAATTTATTTACAGTAATATATACAAAAAAAGTACGAACTTACAGCAAGTATCCAAACATACATACAACAGAGTGTCCGTCACTACACACAATGTCCCAGTGAGAGTATCCTAACACAGTCTCTTTGTACTCCGTACGCCAGTCTTCTTTTAAGACGATCTCGTATCTTCTTGACTTGACTGAAATTCTTTGAAACTATATATCTGTACATTTATAATACCTAACTGCATGAAACAAAATTATGACGAACTTGTAGCACAATGTGGCGTCATGATAGGGTGTACTAACATGTTTGTCAGAGGTGATTAAACATAGAAAATGGGAAAAAATGTTGGTTTTATACAACAGTCAACATAATAATAATAGTCAGCATAATATATATAAATACTATATCCAGCCTGATTTATATCTGTTTTTACAAGATATTCAGTTTCCGTTCCGCAATACCCTTTACTTATCTATGAAAGAATATGTTTTTAAGAATCAAAGAGAATAGATAATTGTAGAAATCTTTAGAAAATATCCATCTTTCTTTAGTTATTTTCAGCAAAATACTCGATCAATTGTTCATCACAAATGTGTGCATTCTGATTGTAATTTTTGAAATTTTACTTCCGACAGGAGACAATGAAAGGAATATTTCCCTTATTTGCACTGTGTTGCATTCTTGAGTTACACCTAATACAGGGTTATGACAAATCATGCAACACGGATCTTGTTCGGGACAGTTGTTTAGAAGATGAGCTACGAACAACCATCATATACATTGCACCAGAATTTTTCGTTGGTTGTATACCTTCACCACGTAATGAAAAGTGTGTTTTAATAGGTAGGTTCTTTATCAGTTTAATAAATGTATGACAAAATCTATCTTAAATGCAAGGTAAGATAAAAAGAGTTTTTCATCCAAGTCCTTTTGTTTAGCTTTGATATTTAGGAAAATAAAATGAAGTCTATTTCTGAATCGGAGTAGATTTAATTTGAAACATCGATGAACTTTTTGATCAGATTTCAATGTCAGGGGTTGGAGATGCCCTGGCGACACTCTCCTAGCTGCAGATTTCCCAGGTCCAAATGGCGGGACAATACTACGATGCTGTACGAAGAAAGGTGAACATGTACAAAACACGTCCTCATTGATAAATCTCTTCAGTGATATATCTTAACACTGACATTTATTTATTTTAAATTTAGAAGAATATAATAAATTCAAGTCGTTTTTTATTAATTGAATATTTATTAGGTTTAAAAATAAAGAGCTGTATTTTGGACTCTACTATCTTCACCTTTAAAAACAACTTTGCAACAAGGCCTCCAAAGGGTTTTCATCTCAAGGGTCGATCAAGCGTGGGGTAAGATATACAAGTATATATATTATATACTTCTTTATACAGTGGATAAGCTCAAAACATTGTCTTCATGCCCACGGTTTTGACGTCACAATCGTTCTTGTGTGAATTTGACCAAGTAAACTATACATATTTACTGAAACGCAACATCCTATTTTAGGGGGAAAATATTATATATAGGGTATAACTTTGTACTTAAAAAAAAGACATCTTCAACTTTGCGAAATCAGTAATTTAACCGTTGAATGATTTTCATACAATTTGCAAAGGCTTGGGGATAAAAACACACAACTCGTTGGATAAAAAATCCAACACAAACCATGGTAGAATATACTCAGCATTCAGTGCCACTGAGCAGGGAGAGATTTTTTTTAAAGGGTCTAACCCGAAAGACCCACAACTCTAACCTAACGCCTGGCGTAAGAACAATACTTTTTTTATTTTATTGCTACCTGTTTTTATCAACTTAGGTTTGTCGCCGCCTGAATATTTCGATGACAGAACGAGCAATCTACAGACCCAGCTACCGTGGTTACGAAGGTTTACAATGAAGTTTTTACTTACTAATTGTCACTCAATTATTATTTGAGTGATTATTATTATTACATATGTCGTTTGTTTCCTAAAAATATGCCATCTAGTGGAAGTAAAACGAAAGTGTATGGAAGTGCAATACACTTTTAAGAAAATACTGAAATGACCACTCATTTATTTTAGAAGATTCAAGATAGACACAGTAGTCACAAAACCAAAGAAAGAGATAATTATTTTCGTAATATGCATTTATTACATAGGAATCATACGTGAAGAAACTTAATGTGGACATTAACAATCTTTTCTTTAAAGAAATACACAATGCATAACAAGTACTAGTATACCACAAAATAAATGAATAGAGATGGTTAATGTGTATGTATTTACTGTCGGATGCAATTGTTATAGGGCTAAGCTGATCACGCAAAACTCCATGTATATCCGCAAGTGAACTGTACAGCGAAAAAAATAATCACCTTAGCCTTACTTCAATGACAGTAGATGTGAACATGGCTTTGTCATTGAAATGAGCTATTCTCTCGTCCATCCTTTCTAAAATAACAAGCTAATTCAGAGAATTTTTGTCCCCCGCTCAGGGAAAAAAGAAGAGCATGTGCAGTTCGGGGGGGGGGGGGGGTCACACTGCCCCCCTGTATTTGTAGAATTCTTAAATTTATACATGTATATTGAAGCAAATTAAAAACAATGCCCATATGAATATAAAGATTTGATTACTTATTCTTTCATATGAGTATAGAAAATTCTTTTTAATGTACAGAATATTTACCACACTGTAATAATGATTTTATGAGTTTGAACACGCCAGACATCATAACTTTTTCATTTCACATGTTGAATAGTATCCTTTAGTAAATAAAAAAAAAAACATTAAAAAAAGAAAAATCGAATCGATCGGGGATTGAACCCGTGCCTCTCGCTTGCTAAGCGAGCAACATACCCCTACACCACGGAGGCACTTGATTATACAGCAAATTAAAGGCAAACACTAGGTCACACACAAACGTCAATAATGATAATGTCGCAAGAGTTATGCTTCTTTGACTATGTAACAAGAAGTTGATCTACTCATAATACGACTCATATTGAGTTAAGTCTGATTAAATGCAAACATTAGGTCACAAAATGTTTATATTCACGTTCGATATTGTCAAAATTTTACACATTACATATTGTCTAATTTAGCCTTTACTAAACAGTCCTAATAGATGTATAATAATATAAAGTAGGCCGACAACCTGTATTATACGTAATAACTCTCCACATGCCCCTGTGCTAACAATAGTGCCAAGCGACTTTTAAATATACAATAAATAAAAAAAACGGGGCGGGACACTTTGAGAGGGGCGAGAGATGCAATAGGGAGTTAGGTATAAAATTTCTTTGCAAAAGCTCAAAAGCTTTTTGAGATATCGCCCGGAAACGAAAGTGTTACACAAAGACGGAATTTGTGAATTTACGACCTTGAACTTTGACCTTTTGACCTCAAAATCAATAGAGGTCGTCTTTAGGCCACATGGAGTTATGTAAAATTTCATTGCAAAAGCTTGAAGAATTCGCGAGATAACGCGCGGAAACAAAAGAGTTAAAGCAAACAGAATTTATGACCTTGACCTTTGACCTATTCATCTCAAAGTTAAAAGGGTTAGTCCAAAGGGAGTTGCTATGCAAAATTTCATTGCGAAAGCTCAAAGGGTTCTCGATTGATTGATTGTTTGTTGTTTAACGCAAAGGGTTCTCGAGATATCGCGCGGAAACGAAAGTGTTACAGACAGACAGAAATACAGACGGACGGACAGACCCAAATTAATATCCCCCACTTTCAGTGAAAGCGGGGGACAAAAAGGAAGCTTGCAAAGCGAATTATATATTAGCTATGTCTTTACATTTCTCAAAAGAGAACAGAAAACAAACATGTCTGAGGTTCTTTTATGTTGTTAAACTGTTAGTTAATATCTATTTTTGTCATCTTCAGAGACCCGACCAACCCAATGGCATCTAGGTATGAATTCTGTTCCCTGCAGCCACGATCTCATCAATATGGATGACGTGAACTCATCCCTGCGTACCTACACCATCAGTAAGGGAAGACAACAGACTCGATCTTCGTGTTTTTAATACTTAGACAGCAATGATCACATAGTTCATTGTATCAATAAAAATGATGGTTTACCTTAATACTTTTGTTCGTTTTTTAGAGGTCCATTGCTATTACCGGTTAAATTTGAGAAGATAGAACCCATTTCCATTTTTCGGGATTAAACTTTTGTTAATCGATTATTGTTTGGTACTGTAGCATGTACTTCAAATTGTGTTTGATTCTCATCTATGTCAATCTTTGGTCGGAATCTTGGTCCTTTTATTGCTGAAACTCAATATTTTTTTCCTCTTGAACTCTATTCTTAGACAGATGAAACTTTTAATAGGTCACCTGAGTCACTCAGGTGACCTATTGCTATCTCTTTTCGTCCGTTGTCGTGCGTCGGTCGTAAACTTTTGAACATTTTCAGCTTCTTCTCTGGAACCAGTGAACCAATTTCAACCAATTTTGGCATATACATGTAGCATCTATGGGTTAAGGGGAATAAAAATTGTGAAAACCATCAAAATTAATGCAATCTTTAAAAATCTTTATCTTTACTAATGGACATCAAGCAGTCAAACTGTTGGCATGATTGTAATAAGCATTGAACCCTCTACTTAAATTGTGAAATTCATGGCCCCAGGGTCAGGGGTTCTGGTGCTAGGGCAGGGCTCTGTTGAATATATAGTGAAAATGCATTATTCCTGAAAAAATCTTCTCCTCTGCTCCTGGATATTCAGGAAACAAACTTAATGCATAGTTTTAATGAGAAAGTATTGTGAATTTCATGGCCCCTGGCTCAGGGGTTCTGTAGTTACGATGGGGCTCTTTTGAATATATAGTGAAAATGCATTAATTCTTTGAAAATCTTTTTCTCTGCTCTTGGGTATTAAACAAACAAACTGAGTACATAGTTATGATAAGCTAGGATGCCTCTTCCAAATTGTGAATTTCATGGCCCCTGGGTCAGGGGTTCTGGTGTTATTTGGTTATATAGAGAAAAAGCATTAGTACTCTGAAAACCTTCTCTGCTTCTGGGTATTAAACAAACTAACCGAGTTCATAGTTATGATGAGCAAGGATGCCTCTTCCAAAATTATGAATTTTATGGCCCCTGGGTCAGGGGTTCTGGTATAAGGGTGGGGCTCTATTGATTATATAGTGAAAATGCATTAATAGTCTGAAAATCTTCTTCTCTGCTCCTGGGTATTAAACAAGCTACCTGAGTACATAGTTATGATGAGTAAGGGTGCCTCTTCCAAATTTATGAATTTCATGGCCCCTGGGTCAGGGGTTCTGGTGTTAGGGTGGGGCTCTATTGATTATAAAGTGAAAATGCATTAATACTCTTAAAATCTTCTTCTCTGCTCCTGGGTATTAAACAAGCTAACTGAGTACATAGTTATGATGAGTAAGGGTGCCTCTTCCAAATTTATGAATTTCATGGCCCCTGGGTCAGGGGTTCTGGTGTTAGGGTGGGGCTCTATTGATTATATAGTGAAAATGCATTAATACTTTGAAAATCTTCTTCTCTGCCCCTTGAGATTATTTTAACAAACTAAGTGCATGATTATGATAGGCAAGGATGCCTCTTCCAAAATTGTGAAATATATTGCCCCAGGGTCAGGGGTTCTGGTGGAAAGGGTGGGGGGCTCTATCGATTATATAGTGGAAAAGCATAATATCTTGGAAAATGTTCTTTTCTGTTGCGTCTGGTTATAAAGCAAAGAAACTAAGTGTATAGTTATGATAAACAAGGGTGCTTCATTCAGAATTTTGAGTTTCATTACCCTGTGTCAGATGTTCTGGTGTAAGGGTGGGGCTCTATTGATAATATAATGAAAATGCATTAATTCTATTAATTAATCCTGTCTGCTCCTTAGTGTTGAGCAAATAAACAAATTGCATAGTTATGATGAATAAAGGTGCTTCTAACAGAAATTTTAAAACTTGTGGTCCCATCCCAGGATCAGGGGTTCTGGCAATAACGGAAAGGGGGGGGGGGTATTGATGATATAGTGGAAATGTGTTAATTCTTTGAAGTGCATAGTTATGATGCTGGGGGTAACTCTTCCAAATTTGTAAATTTCTTGACCCTGGGTCATGGGTTCTTGTGTTAGGGTAGGGCTGTGTTGAATCTGTAGTGAAAATGCATTATACATGTGAAAATCTTCTCTGCTTCTGGGCATATCAGAGGCAAACTGAGTAAAAGTTTTAATAAACAAGGGTATTTTTACCAGATTTTGATTTGGTCAAGCAATCAGGTCCTGGGCAGGGTTCTATTAATTTTTATTCTACTGAGAGAAGTTATTCTTTTTTCCATTCACCTTTGATAATTAATCACTGTAAATAATGTACTTGAAAAGTTAATAAAATAAGAGAATTATGCTAGAATTTTTATTTTATAATACAAAAAGTACTTTCTTAGTTTTGATGATCAGGTAGACCTGTAAATAATAGATAAATAAAAATGAGACAAAAATATCTTATTAAATGTTCTTCAAAGACCAAAAAGGTCAATGTGATGTTATATTATGGCGTTAAAGATGGTACAGAAGCACTAATTGTTTGTTAAAAGTCTACACGGTGATAGTGATGAGAGGGGGACAGATTAGAACTTAATTTATGAGTTGTTACTGAATATTAGACCAATTATTTTGTTGATCCTGATCTTCCTACTTCTCTTGATTTTAGGCAACAAAGCTTCATCTATCAGTTGATTTTATACTCTATGATCCTCTCAATTGTTGTATTATACTCAGGTGACCGTTAAGGCCCTTGGGCCTCTTGTCTGTATTAAAATCATTATAACAGTAATGCTAGTAAATGAAAATGGTGATGATGGTGAAAGGTTGTCAAACCCATACATTCTGTCAAGAACACTAATTGTGAATAAAGGGCAAGACAAAAGCAACATAGAAAAAATAATAATAACAGAACGTTTGGGAAAAGAACAGGTCGGATCAAGTGCAAAGAAAGAGTAAAAAAAAACTTTTAACCGCGCAGGTGGGCTAATTGTATTCAGCGCGTCGGCGCGTTCGCGCAACAGATTTTGTTTACAAAATAAATTATCGCTTATACAATTTTGTTAGCATCGGGCTCGATATTTCATTCGATATTGGCATCAATTTTTGTGCAATCAGCGAACGACTCAGTATTTCGTGAACACAGGTTATCATAAAACTTTTTGATATGCTTCTTACTTTAATGACCATCACAAAAATTAATGTTTAAGGAATGTTGATGGAACCATTGTACATTATATGTATTTCATATGATTGGATTTTTAATGAGATAAGTGGTTGAGAAGACTACAATATGGGGAGGCAGGACTTTATGTATACTGGCACATGATCTGTGGTGCAAATGAACTGTTTAGGTTCACAGGCCAGTCATTTCTGTAACTAAAGTTACTCCCCCCCCCCTCATCAAATAAAGACAAGTTAATATTTAGTAGTAGTAGTATTATTTTAATACGTAACAAGGAATATCTGTCAAACACTGATACCAATGTATGGCAGCTTTTTGCCATGATAATCAAGTCTCTAAAAAGGAGGTTAAACTCTAGAGTCTAGGGTCATTACGTAATAACGGTAAATTTTTGTTATACATAAAGAAAATTTATTAAAACCAAAGCACTAAATATTTTTAAATGCTATTAGTTAATGTTTGGAGAGATATATATATAGAGAGATAAATCGAAAGTAGGCCAACTCAAAAAATTGGGGTAAATTTCGGTTTACTCTAGCACAAATTGTGGTAAGGCATGCGTGGATCAAAGGGGATCCGGATCCCTGGAAAATTCAAATTTATTTAAACTGACATAGTAAAATTACTAAAGCTATGCCTTGGACCTCTTCCCCTTGCGATTTGAGCCAACACCTTCTAGGGAAAAATTTCTGGATCCACCCAACAAAATTTACAATCCGGCTCGGGCTGTCGACTTGAATATAACGATAATGCTTAATTATAAAGAAAATCGATGTCATTTGAGTGTTTTAATGCAGGGAGAAAATACTTTTGTGATATTGGGATGAGATGAACGCGCTGGCGCGCCCAATGCAATTAGCCCGCAGGTGTGTTAGGAAGCACTAAGATGATCCGACTTGACTAAATCAGTGATACAATATGACGTAATAGAAGGCTAGATGACGTCAATTTTAGAACACAAGTTTTCTAAATATCGTTATTTAGAGATATAATTTAACTCCTGAAAATGAATTGAAACTTGAAAATATTAACAAAAATAAAATGTTTTTATTTTGTTATGCTGTATCTGTCACTTAAATTAAAAACTCCGACCGATGACGTCATACAGTGTATCTGTTCAACAAGTTGAGAATTGATCATGTTGTGTAACGAGAATTTGGCTAAGACAGTATGTAAAAAGTCAGCTATTTACGCATCCCGGTCGGTCTTTCCTCTGTCACTCGTGACAACAATAATGCAAAAGAACAACACTAAGCTGGATACTTCAAAACATATTATTTGTACATATCGAAAGCTTGCGTTCTATAATACTTGGAAAGCGCTGCTAGAATCGTGAGGTAAACTTGGTTTGAAGACACTCTTCGTGCTTTTAGAAATTTCAAAACTTTGGATATTATTTTATCCTAATAGAGTTTTCACACCTCAGAGTTTGTCCCTTTAACTTTATAAGCAAATATGTTTCATTCTTATAGTCTGTCCCACGGAACCAAGTACCTCACTTTTCGCCTCCTATCTCAAAATGTATAAATACCTTGGCTCCTGCAATCTTCTTGGATGTCAGAGATGACATGACCCTCTGTTCCACTAAGGATTTGAATGACTTCTGAAGGCTGTGAATGTGGAAGAGGAACCTGTTAAAGAAGAATTCAGTGATTCCCTACAATTTTGAGAGTATCCACACATGCATAAACATGTAAAATAAATTCAGAAAGCATGTTGCTTTCATGCTATTTGTTGCTAAAACATGTCTTATGACATAATGTTCTGCCTAACTAATATAGGATTATTATGCCTTTACAGATATTTTATGAATTTGAATATTAAACTTGATCTCAAATTGTCTGATTCCACTTCTTTTCCATTGTAATAAACATTGTTCTCAAATGAATATATTATGGCATTTTTGCTAATTAGCTGATTTGACTGTATATAGACATTGAGTTTACTGTTGTCATCAAATACAGAGAGCTGCACAAGGTCAATTGCGATTCAAACCAGTTGTTTCAATGTCAAACATAACTCTTCTTTTCTTAGGGTCCAGTTTACCTGGAAACAAAATAATGCAGAGATTGAATTGGTGCAATAAAGAAAGATTGATTGATTGATTGTATGTTGTTTTACGTCCCATTCGAGAATTTTTCACTCATATAGAGACGTCAGCATATACCGGTGAAGGGCTTCAAATTTTGACCTTTACTCGGCACTCAGGGCCATTGAGCAGTGGGGGATCTTTGTCGTTCCAACGCCTGCCATGACAAGGTGCCTCGGTTTTTAAGGTCTCATCCGAAGGACCCGCAACTTTCACTTCAAAGTGCCGAGCGCACGGCGAAGGAACAGTTTCTACCCATTTTTATCGACTTAGGTCAGTCTCGGCCGAGATTCGAACTCACGACCTCCTAATCACGGAGCGAGCGCTCTACCGATTAAGCTACGTGAACGGTTAATAAAAGAAAGAAAGAAACTTTAATAACCAAAGGATGCAATGATACATTTCATTTCAGTTTTCATCTCGATTAAATTGAAGGTTCAAGTGCTTTTCTTATTATCAACATCGTCCGATGTACATCGGTCTAGCTTTTCTGTCTGTCTGTTAACACTAGACTCTTGTCTAGAACCATTTGGCCTATTCAACCAAATCCGTCATAGCAAACTATCAATAAAGAGGATTCAAATTTCTAAAATGAGAGGCCACATCCTCAAAGGGGAAATGATTAATTTAAATAATAATACCAAAAAGACTGATTGATGAAAAAAATATTGCTTAAATAAAATGAAGTCTGTCAAGCAAAGGGCTCTAAATATATTGATTACATATTCTTTTTTTCAAGTTGGAGGGCGTAAAAATACAGTGCCGTTCTTCAACAGAAGAATTTTAAAGATTTTCTCATCTATTTCCATGTTATATTTTTTTTTTCACCTATTGTGGCCCTACCCTTCTCCCGGAGTCATAATCTGAATAAAAGACTCGAATGTACACTACGCGAGGGTCCTTCATTATCAATGTCTAATCATGCCTTTGCTGTTTTGGGGAAGAGGATTCATAAAGATTTCTATATAGTCCAATATAAAATTTGATCGCCTATTGTGGCCCCGCCCAATGCCCGAGGGATCATTATTTGAGAAAAAGACAATTTAAAAAAAATAATGGAAAGAGTAAGAAAAAAATTACTAAGCACATGATGAACTTGTTTCTCTCTTTATATTACAAAAAAGCTTCTCGACCCTCTGCCGAACATGCAGTTCTTTACCGAGTGTAGTAATCAACCACTGTTACAGAAAAGACATACATGGAACATTGAATAATATTTTATTAGTATTTTAGTAAATTTAACAATATAAGGAGAAAAATAAGTAGATAAATAAATGTGAATTTTTTGATAAGTTCTGCCTATTAAAAAAGAACTTGTTTTCACCGTTGAAATTAATATATCAATGACATGCAAGCTTTAGTGTGCTTTCATTGCGTGTATTAATATTTACTATAAAAGTTCCACCTTGTATTGGCCCAAAAAATACTGAACAAATTTTTATCATTTCAGTGAACATGTGTAAATTCAGTTTTTTTTACAGCATATGCCATTGACACCTGGGAGGGGGGGGGGGGGGGGTCGGCTAGACGCAACGGAAGTTTCCCTATCCAAATTTAGAATTGTTGAGATCCTACGTTGCTGTTAAGTGTGTCGTAGTTGTTGATACTTTAAATATTCTTATGAACTGATATCTGTAGATGTACATGAAATTGTATTCCACATAATTGTTTTTGAAAAGCAAGGCATCAAGCATAAAAACAAAACAGTGTATCGATTCAATTTTTGCCGCAGAGCGTATCAGCTGTAAACTTTGATAAAACAAACACGTAACAATACACAAATATTCATTCTATAAACTTTTGCAACCATCTTGGGTATAGACAAAGATAGAGTTTCTACCAAAGAAAAGAAATATGATTAAGTAACTGTACTTTTCTCATTTAGAGGTTTGGACATGGATGTTTAATTTACCCTAACTGCCTGGAACTTGAACAACTTGGAAATTTAATTCCTGTGTTTATATGAATTTCCGATATTTCTCCATTTAGAAGTGGATAGACCTTGCAAGAATTCTAAACTTTTTTTGCCGGTGACCTTGGCTTAGTTAGAATGATCCTTTGATCAACGTTTTGGTATATAATCCATTCATAAACAATGATCTTTGTATTAAGTACGAGTTGTAACAACATTACGTAGTCATGACCAAGATCCATTTGCATGGACACTAGACAAGATGATTCTTAGAATTACATCCCCTAAATGAAGAAAAAAGGGGGGGGTATAAATACACATAAAAGTTGAGGTTTTTTGGTAAAGGTGGATACCTCTTTGGAAAAATGGACCTCATGTCTGCAAGATCTGACTTTCTGAGGTCAGTACCCGGTTATTGTTCCCTTCCCCACGCTCTGCTTACGTGTTTCAAGAACGTTTTGAATATATCATTCAATAAACTCATCAGTGTAATCACAGGCACTTGTTTCGTATATACGGGGCACCCCCTACTTATTTTTACCACAAGGTACCTAACTGAATTTCAGGTATACCCGCATCAAGCTCGTATTTTATTATTATATCGTTTCAATATCGTTACAATTAAATCGTTTCAGACGTCTCTGGTCAAGCCACATATTGTAAACCACTCATTTATTCCTCGAATATTACCTCGATACAAAATAAGACTTTAGATGGGATACAAAGCTTCCGGTTGGGGTTATAAATGTAGGATAAAACCAGAGACCTCGGAATGGAATACTCGGAAGTCTTGTGGCAAAAATAAGTAGGGGGTGCCCCGTATACGACACAAGTGCCTGTGAATGTAATTCACAAATATTTATAAATATGTGCATATTCATCTACATACAAATACTTCAATAAGTGACATAATTTGATTTTTCTAGGCTTTTCATCCGGTATGTTCACAAAATGACCGATACTAAGTTGAATGAATTAAATTTCGTTTTCTTCCCATTGAAGAATTTTCATTTTTTTTTTTCATTTCATGCATAAATGACGTCACTTGATGTAGGTCCCAGAAATTTTGTCTTGTGCATGGAGCTTTCGGTTGCTGTTGTTGTTTAACGTCCCTTTCGAGAATTTTTCACTCAGGGGATGCTCACTCCTCCATGGCACGTGATACCACCTCTGATGTTTTTGGAGGTCCGTGTTTGCTCTTCACACGATTTGTATTGTTTTAATGGACTTTGAACTTGAATAGTGTTCGTGTTCTCCACATTTCTCCTTTGATGATAAAGCCGTTACCAAAATTCCTCTACCTCAACCTCAATACTCACCTCAAACCCCTTGAGGTTTCCTTAACTGAGGACTTCCTCAATTTACCGTCACCAAACGGACTGAGGATCACCTCAGCTGAGGCGAATTTTTTCCTTCAACTCAGTTGAGTTGTTACATCAGTAATGTCGCGCAATTTCGTAGACTTTTCACGTTATGATTGCACGCAATATAATATTTGTCGCGTGTGTTATTTGTTGATGTTAATGGGTTAATATCAGTAGAGAAAAGAAAAGGGATGGGGGCTAATTCCACTAGTATGGAGGAGATAACTCTAATCGAAGAGGTTTTGAAATTTGAAGAACAACTATTTGGAAAGATGAAGGGGGCGGGGTAAAAGGAAAGCATGGGAATGTACGTTAATGGTGAACATAACGACATTTTGTTGGGCGATTCTGGATACCCGGAAGTCCATCACTGACACAATAAATTTGTAAGTATTTTTATATCAATCTGTATTTCACTTATTTGTCGTTGTTTTGACCAGACGATTCTCGTTGTAACCTCCCTAAGTAGGTGTATATACAAATTTTATCTAGGTATATTCCAGTCATGGCCACGTCCTCTATTTTTAACTGTAAATGCCTACAGTTTAACAAAATTCCTTACTTTATTTAGTAGTAAGTACTCATTTTAAATCACCATAAACATTGATTACATTGCTCTGGCATATATATTATAAATCAGTTACGTGGTCACAAACCACGAAAGGGGGGGGGGCTCTAACATAGGCGGAAACCACTCCAGACCGTGGCTTCAGACAATGGGTATTAAACCTGTTTTACATGATAAAATAAAAAAATCAAGTCCCAAATAAGGAAAGAAGAGAGAAAAGAATGATTTGACCGACTTCCATTTTTTTATATTCAAATGCAAGAAAATTAACAGAAGCATACATGTATATAAATAAGTGAAATGATATTTACACAAAATATTAGTATAATCTTTGTCGTATATTTGATAATTATCTGATATAATATTTTAAAGAAATACGTTATTAATTAAAAAAAATAAATACTAGTAAAACGAGATGCCAGATGTTTGTAAAACGCAAAATAATTCTTTTTTTAAATTTCATATGGACAATTTAAAAATGACAGAACATCTGACTCAATCTACAAAAAGTATGATAGCATCGGAGAGGTAAAAATTAACATTAATAATTCTTACTGTTGAGTCAACCACTTCAGGAGATATTCATAAATAAGCAAAACACTGTTTGAAATCGCCATAAATTGTAGCTAAAGAGAAAATTGATGGCGGCCCAAGACAGGGGGAGGTCCACCAACGGCGCCCCTTACTCAGGCAGAGGAGGCATTATACCAGGCGATGGATACTCGACCCAACATTGTTTGCTCGATAAGAACTCTGGTTCGACTCAGAGGTGCATTAATTCACTGGTGAGCGTTTGTCTGTGGGTTGAGGTATGGCGTCACTGAAAACGCCGGCAGGGGCACATGTATCCAGAATCGCCCAACAAAATGTCGTTATGTTCTTCATAAACGTACAAGTGTTACATAATCGAATTTATAAACTTATAACCTCCAACGTTATAATTTTAATGCTTTTAATTTATTTCCCTTCCTCTATAGAATTACAACTGGATCCAATTCTTACGAAAAATAAAGTTGTTTACCTCGTTCGAATTGTCGACAAATGAAGGATTCCCGCCAAATCCTGCTATCATGGACATTACCGGGCCAGCTGGCACACGCACTTGTGAATCTGAAGTTTGTTTCACAAACCATCTATTTTAAAATTAAAATGAACCCCTTACTTTTTAAGTTGCATATAATGCTGCAAATTGAAAAAAATATGTAAAAAAAAAAATATATATATTGAAAAGGATATTAAATATTTTTCAGTTCTTAACTTCAAGATTTGAAGCATTTTATATGAGATGAAATGATAAAGAAAAGGGTAATAAAATACTCCCTGCACATTCAAAGAATGAAACCCCTTTCTATTTACAAATTCCGGTTCGTTTTCAGTTGGAGCCATGCTTCTTATAAACGTATCATCGACGCAGCCTGTGTGAATTAATTATGCAATGTAATATTTAAAGTTACATTTGTAAATGAAGTGTCCTACAATGTATGTAGAAAATAAAAACACGGCTTTGAAATTCAAAAAGTATATTTAGAATAAAAAATCTACATGGGCTTTGAAGAAAAACGGTACATGTAAAGTATTCCGCAAACTAGAGATTTCCGTTCATGATAAGTTTTCAGTGTATTGAAAACACAAAGTACAAAATTAAAAATGACACCCAAAAAAGTGTTTGGGCTGGGGGAGGAGGGTGAGGGGATGTTAAATCTTAACGCGCAAACTGGGGGGGGGGGGGGCTTAAGTTAACAAATTTACTGAATAATTAGCACAGTTATTTCATTATTCATGACTACTCACCAATTTCTTTTGTTTTGTTTTTTTTTAGAAAATAAATAAATTTTAAATAAAGATTAATTCCAGTAAACAGTATGATGCCAGCTGTAGAAAAGTTACATATGATTAATTTATTACATAGAACAGAAAAAAAAATTAATGGATTAGGATTAAAGTGAATCTGTATGATTTTGATTTATATTTAGTAAACAGTATAGCTTTCTCCTCCAAATAAAAAAATAACTGACAAATATTAACGTAATAAGTTATATATGTTTTTTTTTCTTAAAGTGCTGGAATATTCACTGATTGATTTCATTTGCAATCCAATATTAACAACTTCCCCAAACCGAGCCCAAATGGAAGCACGAGTTATCCTTCCTGAAGAAAACAAAACGACTGACAACATACCGGCTATTTTGATGAACTCTTGCTTAGTTTTTCTTGCTAATTGTTAGGCCATTATTTACACACCGAATTGTCGACGCATTTTTTGGTTATTATCCGATCATGACAAGGAGCACACGGCTGGTGTGACCGGTTGGCAGGGGATGCTCACTCCTCCTTGGCACTTGATCCCACCTCTGTTGTTTTAGAGGTCCGTGTTTGCTCTGCTCCAAAATCTGTTTAATGGACTTTTGAGCTTGAATACTGTTCGTTATATCCATACATTTCATTGCTAGTTCGTCTCTAGGAAAACTAAATTGTTGTCGAACTCTAAGGATGGCATTGGTGACCGATCTACAGCATTTGCCGACGGTGGACTTTGACACATTCATGCTATCACCTGTAAGTTTGTGGTAAGCGCCTGTCGCAGAGAACCTGAGACCCACAAAAAGCTGCAATAGCGGGGGTATGGTATTGTTTCTTGTGCTTTCTATCAAATTCCCGGCTATCAAGTCCAGTAAAAATACCGGTATGACTGATGCCTGCCGAAATCTTAAACACTCGAAAAGCTCATTGTATAGGCCTCTAAAGGGTTCAGTCGGTCTCGAATCACCTTTTTGACGGTCGATTTCGGTATCTGAAACTTGCATCGTCTGCGACGTCTATCTGTCATGTTGAAATTGCTTGAGGAAGACTTTAAGGTTGCTCTGAAGCTATATCCCCTTAAATATTTATATATAGGATTTCCTCAAGATTATCCGTCAATTTTTATTATTTTTTTATTTATTTTATTTTTGGTGAAGGTAACTAGAGGGTGAAATGAGATATTTGAGGGAAAACCTCAGAGTACAGGCCCCGCCGTCACCAAAATTCCTCTACCTCAACCTCAATACTTGAGGTTCACTCAAATGAGGAAATTCCTCAAACCACCGTCACCAAACCCTCTGAGGGTTTCCTCAGTTGAGGTGTATAAAAATGTACTCAACTCAGTTGAGGCGAGACATGAAACTATTCGTGCATTTTCGAGGATTTTTTTTAACGCTATTGTTTACGCAGTAAAATTTGTCGTCTGATTTAGAAAATATGGCAGAAATTGACATTGCAGCCTTACTGACAAAAAACACGTTAGAATTCGTTAAAGGTACTGATGAGGTTATAACTGCACAAAAGAAAAAAAGGGGAGCTAATTGGTCGGCCGAAGAAGAAATTTATTTGATAGAGGAAGTGTTAAAATATGAAGATCAACTTTTTGGAAAAATGAAGGGTTCGGGTGTGAGAGGAAAACATGGGCGGGTTAAAGATGAAACCTGGCGGGGTACTGCTGACACACTTAGCGGGTAAGTACATACCTTCAACCCTACGTACCAGACGACTCCGCATTATCTCCCCATTGGTGTAACGTTAATTCGTACCTTGTTTGTTTCAATCCGATTATTATTCTTTGTTCTTTTAAAAAAAATATTAATAAATTAAGAATTTAATATTATATTTAAAAAGTACGCATGTGAGTAATTTCTCTTCAACTTGTGAAAAGATAGGCCTATTTGACAAAATACTTTACATTGATTTTACGCCTTGCTGTTTGTATTCGATGTAGGCAGTTTAAAAATGAAAGAACGGCAGAGACGATTTCAAAGAAATACGATAACATCAAGCAGCGGGGTATGTACTTCGTTCAGAAATATACATGTACGCATGTATGAAAATCAAAATTCATAAACTTTGCAATAAATTTATTCATGTGCATCATTCCTTTGAACTAATATGTACGTATTCCCACCCCATGAGAGAGAGAGATTTTACTCGTCAGTGGACAGTCTTTTTTTTTAAACGAATTGTTTTCTTTTGTGTGTATGTCTAGCTAAAGACAAAATAGATGCCCTTAAACGCCCGAAAACTGGAGGAGGCCCAGCTAAAGCACCCCTTACAGCCGCAGAGGAGTGTCTCCTTCAAGCTTTTGACGGTCGCCCTAACATTGTAAGACTCAACGGAGGCATTGATTCTGATGGTACGTACATGTATACGAACCGTAAGTAAGCACGCTTTTGATAGACTGTGCAAGAGCTAGGCTCTGTTTTTTCTCTTTCTTCAACAGCTGGTCAGTTGAAGTTATTACTCCAGGCCCTTGAAACACAGTCCCGCCCCATTTTTTCTGAGTATTGTCTGTTTTGTTTTACAGTTTTAATATGTAAATTTTCATATAGATGCCCCTTCTTTGTTGCTGTCAGGTCGAACTGGAAAATGTCAACATTTGATAAAAATGTACGAAAAAGTTAGACCCCCCCCCCCCCCAGCGAAATAGGATTTTAATTTGAGTTTAGACAGTTTACTTTTTTAATTTGCTTGTCACAATTTTTAGAAGGTTGCCTATCTTTAAAACCGTTGCTCAATTCAGACAGAAATACATGTATATCGTAATTCCACCAATCTTACAGAGCCCTCACCTTCCAGTACCTCTCTACCAGTGCCTGATCATGCTGATACGATAATGGAAGTCCTCACTGGACCTTCAGCTACGTGTAGCCTTGTAGAGCCTTGTGGAGACGGCAGCCGCTCACACAACATATGTATGTTTTCCCAGTATTTTGTTTCCTTGTGATTGCTCAAATATAGTTAGAAATTGTTATACATGTATAATTATAGTAATTTTTATTTTTAGTGAAAAGTTCAAATGGACGAAAGAACAAGAAGAATAGCAGGCATGATATTATAGAGGAAGCAGACAGATGTAATCTGGAGTTGGAAAACCAGGTGTTAAAGTCCACGGCGAAAAAGTTGAAGTTAGAGAGAGAGAAGTTGAAAAGTGAAATTAAGTATATGCATATGCAGAAGGAGTATTTATTGCTGAAGATAAGCAAGGAATTTCCTGGTCATAATATAACACTTTCACAGCCATCACCATCATAATCCGATTCAGAATGAAAAGAATATCAAAAAATCAGTAGCCCTTCTTACAAAACCTGTTACTATCTCTCACTAGTTATGGAACCTATACATATTTCAATCACAGCAAATTGTTCACTGTTCTTTCGTTATACATTGAATATAACTTTAGTTATAGTAATAAAAAAATAAATTAAAAAAATAATGAATTTAAAAAATAAATAAAACGAGACGGATTACGGGAAGAAAACTAGTTTTTATTTATGCTTTTTCTTTTGCTGGTTTGCTGGTATCCTTTAACTCTGAAATGAAATAAATTTTCATTACCAATTAGTGTCAATGGGTATGATATTTTTGCATGTCATTTTTAAAGAGCACATTAATAAAAATTATTATCTGATAATATTGCGGATGTTTACTTGTTTCCTTGTCTATCCAAAGTATGTCTGAGCAATATAGTCACGCATGTGACTGCCCTCTGTCCCATTACACGCAACGTGGTGGTCCGTGGGATTGTAGTGAATCACGTCCTGTCTGTCCATCGCAATATCCCCACGCTCTATCCCGATATTGTGCAAAACCACGCAACAATGTAGGCCGCTGCTTGGTCTGGGCATGTTCTGAAAGTGTACATATAACAAAGTGAAAGCATGATATAAGAAGTTAAAATTCTTGACGCAGTTTAAACAAAATTCATTACCTAAGTGTTCCCTGAAGACAGGAAAAACGCCTTTTAAGGATGCCGAAACTCTGCTCGACTAGCACCCGTGTTCTACATAGGGATGCATTGAACCTCTGCTGGGCCTCTGTAGTTTGGCTGAGATATGGAGTCATCAGAAACCTGCGACATGGATACCCTGAGTCTCCTAGAAGGAGGCCTTTGTGCTCACTTGAAGTTAAAAAAGGGAATGATTATATACACATTGTACATGAATAGTTATGTAACTTTTGTCTTGAGATAGCTACAAGCACGTACATGTAGCACCAAGGGGGCCAGCCCCCCCCCCCCTCCTACTTTTTTCCAAACATAATTTTTACTATTGAAAATGTTCATTGAAAGACCGGTTGCCCCCCCCCCCTTTTTGTTGCAGTAAAGTCAAAAAAGGGAAATAATGCAGTAGTGTATGAGAAAAATTTTGCACTGAAATAAGTTGGTACTGAAAGAAGATGGACCCCCCCCCCCCCCCCACACACACACACACACACGAAATAAGATTTTCGAGTTTGGAAAATCCACCACCACCCCCTTTTCTGCTTCTCAAGTTTTTTTTTCAGGTAAGTTGAATTATTTTTCTCTGGCTGCCCCCCCCCCCACCCACCCCCTTTCCAAAAACGATGCTACGTTCCTGAGCTATATAAAGATTGTAAAAGTGACAGTTGGAAATATACCCCTTTCAAATTGTCTGCATAGTGCTGATTCTCTCCAGATCCTACTGTCATGCACACTGCCCGGCCAATTGGCACAAACGCTGGTAATACGAAATTTTGCATCACACCATCTATTTAATAACATTACACGTGTTACTTAAAGTATTGAGGATAAAGGATACAAATTTGAAATCGAAATTTAATACGATTACCTGCACATTCAAAGAATGAAATCCCTTCCGATTCACAAAGTCTGGTTCGTTTTCTGAAGGGCCTTGTATCTTCACAAACGTCCCATCTACACACACCCAAGACATTTGGGAACCCTAGATTGAAAATTTCTTACCATGCTTATTTGGATACTTCAGATTTAAAAAAAAGTAAATATCATCGATGTATTTATCAATTATTTAGCATGATCAATATTAATTTTGAAAGCACACAGACTTTATTTAATTACAGTTTTAGCATAAGGTGTGCTTTTACATGTACATGTATAGGAAGTTTGAAAGTTAAAAATATCATTTGATTTTTAGAATATAACACCCCAATCTACTACATGTAGTGCATTAATAAATAGAATTTTTAGTCTTTTTATAGAATAAAATAAGTTATGATGAAATAAAAGCAGCGTACTTTGTTACATCTGCTTACATGTAACCAATTGTGTGTCGGTCACAGAAATCGATTAAAATTTTCTGATATTGATGGCAATATTAATTGATTAATAATAATTTCGTTAAGTGTATGAAGAATGATTTATAAAAACATTAATGTCTAGCAATTTTTTTTTTAGAAATTGTTATAAAAAGGAGGATCCAACCCTGCCCTTCTCAAAGCGTTCTTCTTCGCCTTATTTTTTTTAAAAGGGGGGGGGGTTAAGGGTAACAGATAACAAAACAGTACCTGTATATGCCCAAAATAATCAACAATCTAAATCCACTATTGAGCTTTGAACAGTTGAATACTTTGAAGTATTTGGTGTTAAATCCGTTTGTCACTACATGGATGACAATATCAGGAATTTCTCACAAATAATAATAAATAAATACATTCGCTTGCAGACGTTACTGACATTGCATTTCTTTTGAATGATTTTGTTTTGTTTTATTTTTTTCTACCAAAAACGTTCTATTTCAACGTTTAAGTCGACTTCTCAATGTACGATTGCCCAAGCATAGGATAGTCCAAGAGTTATTCCTCTTGTACATATTCTGAAAATGAAAGTGAGAAAGAGCAGACGCTGAGTGACTAGTTACCTGCGATCTTCAAAAATTCCTGTTTTGTTTGTCTGGCTGTTTGGTCCCTCGGAAACATGATAAAGTCTTGCCGAATGTCGTTGATGGCCTGGGTCACAGAACGGCAACATCTACCGACTGTGCACTCAGAAACATTTACA